CAGAGAGACAGACACACACAGAGAGAGAGAAAGAGAGAGAGAGAGAGAGAGAGAGAGAGAGAGAGAGAGAGAGAGAGAGAGAGAGAGAGAGAGAGAGAAGGAAAGAAGTTGGGTTGGTGCCATGGTCTGTTATTTGCCTGCTAGAATTGGGTGGATGGGTGTGCAGGAGACCTTTTGAGCTGACACTCCTGAATTTCACGGAGAAGCACATGCACTGGATCACAAAAGAAGTCTTGGCACTTGTTTAGGTAGGAAGTCACAAAGGCCGTCATCGTGAAGAATCGTTCTCGGGCCATCTCTCAACTGTCGCCACGTCAGCACTCAGAAGTCAAGGAGTGTGGCTATCGACTCATCTTCGTGCAGCCATATCCGATATGCTCGACAAGCAAACTTGACGCGCCATCCGCGCACTGGTTACATGACCAGGAAAAGCAGTTGCAAGTCGCTGTCTCTGTTGCAATAGCAGTGCCCAGAGTTCCCAACAGCTGGGATGTGTCTCCAGGACATCCGTTAAAACTGGAACGATGCCGAGAAGATACGCATGGCCCCTGCACAAGGATGACCTGCATAAAAAAAGAAATGGTCCAAATTAAGAACCACCAAATTAAAAAAAAAAAAAAAAAAAAAAAAAAAAGAAGAAGAAGAAGAAGAAGAAGAAAAGAACAACAAACAGTCCGGATGTGTAGTCTTCTCAGTCTTTGGTCAGATAGTCATAAATCCATCATGATAGGTCCTCAGTGCTTGTTCTTCTTGCTGATGGGCTTTCGAAAACTGAAAAGCCATTATGTCCACAATACAAGCTAGGGCCGCTCTGAAAAGCCATTGCATCAAACATACAGCCCCTGTGGCTGAATCCTTCACAGAGCTGTAAGTGCTGGTACAGAACATGAGTTTGAATGCTGTGGAAACAGATTGATTCCATGATGTTAGGGCGGTTACCTCCTTTCTGAACAATCAAATACATAAAAAGTATTAAAAACACATTTAGCATATGGACCGACTACCATGACAGGATTTCATTGCTGCAGCGTTCGTCCCAGTCCCAAGTTCTTGTCCGAAGTCCCAACTCCTGAGTCCCAGTCCCAATTTCTAGTCCCATGTCCCAGTTCCAAGCCCCAAGTCCCAGTCCTGAGTCCCCTCCTTATTCAATTGACTGTTGTAGCCGCATGGACAATATTCACAACTCTTTGTGTAGGATAGCCCAGTCATGTGTACAATATCACGAATGCCTAGAAAGAGTGGCTTTAGTATGTACAATGATTGCAGACGCCTAGGTGGGCAGACTTTAAGTTATGGTAGGAAGTCCCTGGCGGATAACAGTTATGGGTCGGAGCACCAGTGGGCTTGAGGAGAGACAGCAGAAACCAGTTATGGGTCGGAACACCAGTGGGTTTGAGGAGAGACAGCAGAAACCGTTAGGCCAAGTGTCAGTTGGTCCAGTCAAGCAGCCAGCCAAGTCCAAGGAAATTCAACAAACTTCCCGGAAGCAACAGACAAAGGCAAAGGGACCAGCCCATAACCGACAGAAGGAATCCGGAATGCAGGTTAGCAAACTTAAAAGACTCACCTGAGGAAGCCGTCAACATCTATTCATCGGGGAGTCCATGTCAAAGTGCTGCTGTGCTATTTGGAGATATCTAGAGTGCTGTTTGGAGATTTTCACGACCTGTGCCATTTTGTGATTTTGGCTGATAGTGGTAGCAAAAGGTGCTGGGCGCCCATAGGAAGTAGCCGTAGCCAGATCATGTGAGAGAAAGCGTGGGAGAGAGATGAGATAGGTATTCAAACAGGAGAGACACCTTCCACAGAGAGCGAGAGAGAGAGGGAAGTAAGGGCAAAGCTGAGGGAGAGAACCATACCTGAGAGAGCTGTTTGGCGGCCATAGCCGCAGTTTCTGGTCTGTAGACAATTTTTTTGTATTCGAGTTGATTACCCAAGACTACTCCCAGCTTCCATCTCATGTGTACTTTGTCTATGCGAGTGTCATGGTGCGAACTTGGTGGAGTATTGTGCATGGATAGCCGGTCTCAAAGAAATTGGTAGCGGAGCAGACTCCCATTCCATCTTTTGAGTGGGCGCAAGCGGAAGGGGAGGGGTGCAGGGACTAAGGTCGGTGAGCAAAGGACAGAGGTGAAGGCAGAGTAAGGTGAGGGTAGGGCAGAGGAAGAAGCGGCCGGAGTTGGATAAGAAGACTTACCTCGCGGCCGTATCCGGAGCAAGCGAGCATCATGGAGCTTCTTCATCAAGTTGCGGCAGTGAAGTGCTTCCTTACCCTATCCTTTTTTTTTCTTTTTTTTAAAAAAAAAATAAAATAAAAAAAAATACAGGTCCTTATGGCCCTGGCTCCATTTCCATTCTGGGGAGCGTCAGTCCGGTTCCTATTCCACCGGCAAGTCAGAATGAAAGAATACAACTTGA